AGCCTATTAAGGTGTCTGTCACTGACATAGTAAAAGTTTCAAAAATCCTTGCCTCCTGTTACAATCAGGACAATCAAGAAGACCTGTGCATAAGTTTCTTATGAGAATTTTATGCACCATTTTTTACGTAGGGAACAAAAGTAGCAAATAAAGTTGAATTTCATATAAAATATAACTGTTTGTGAAGAACTTACATTTTTATGTCTGGGATAATATATAAACCAGTGTAATATTCCAGCATTTGACAATTAAAATATTGGCTATGCTTTAGTTCCATCTGGGAAATATGGAACCCCCAGACACATACGCAGGTCTGAGAAAATTCACTGCAGTTCACTCAAGATCACACATTTACCTGGATCTATCTAGACACTGAAAACAAATAAGCTTGCTGGATGATTATAATATAAATTGAATATTCACTACAGATTATCTTTGATTCTTATTCTTTCTTTCTCTCTATACAGGTACACATAGACACACCATTAATTAATTTTCAAAAATTACATTTTTATGTGGTCCAGCAACCAGGAAGTTTTATTTGCCTGATCTTTTGTGTCTAACACCAAAGATAAAATTTACCTTTTCGGACCCTTAAGCAAGGCTAGGCAATGAGTTCCTATGATGAAGCATGGAAATCAGAATTATTTGTGTCTTATCTCAAATTGTTGAAAATGCTCTTCAAAGCACTGACATTTATTACCCGGTCTCAGGAAGGCTGTTAAACCCCTCAAATATAGTTTCTAAATGTTTGTGGGGTTTGCTTTTTTTGTGGTGGTTTTTTTTTTACATAATTATTTTCCCCCTGGTTTGATTTCAGGGTATTCACTCAGAGAAGGTTTTTGGAAAATCACAGTCTTGTTTCCTTGTGCTACTCATCGTTTTATTTCTTTAAATTGATTTGAGAGAGAAAGAAACATCAATTTGTTGTGCCACTTATTTATGTATTTCTTGGTTGATTCTTGTATGTGCCCTGACCAGGGATCGAACCCACAACCTTGGTATATTGGGATGATGCTCTAACCAACTAAACTACCCAACCAGGGCTCATCATTTCTCTTAAAATAAAAGCAACTATACTTAGGCTTTAAAATAAATATTTCCCACAGTTTTCATCACGCTATTTCTATGCATAATTCTTAACTAAATTCAGATTTTTATTAATCCAATGTGACCTGAAATTTCTGCGTTAACAGCACAATGTGGAATTGGGCTTATTCTCTTTGGCTGCAGATAAAGCCATCATCTTGAAAATGGCTCTTTCTGACAAAAAGGTGTTCTTTTGAAATAAAGTCTTATTCACTACATTCCTCTTAGAGTTAATGCGAATTTTAGTGCCTCTAATTTTAGATTGAAGTGAAGTCTAGAATAAAACCCACCAGCTGACAATTGAATTTATAGATAGTTGTGAATATTTCAGGCTTGAATAATAGAGCTATAGAATCTCAGAGACAGAGAGGGAGAGAATTAAGACCCGCCGTAGTTTTCGCGGATAATGTAATGGTGCCGAGGAAGTGTTCAGTGTAATGAGCTAAGGCGTCATTAGGAGTCAACTGTGTTCCTTTGGAGGTTTTGTTTAGGTGTCGCTACCACTCTGGAGAGGGGATCTACAGGGACCACCCCCCAGCCAGTGTGCTGTCCCCAACAGCCCCTTTTTGCTCATGGCTGAGCTGTGGGAGTAATAGCTATCCATATGAGACATCTGCACTTGCTTGGCCATTTTTAAGAAACCAGTGCACACCTTTAAAATGTCTGTTGGTTTCAAGACATGGCTGCACTGAGCTTTGGAGTCAGACCCGAGGTTGTCTTAGGGATTAAATCTGGTAATATGTTGTGAAGTGCTCAGACTAGTGCCTGGTACCTTACAAGCACTGATACATGGCAGCGTGGCTATTATGATTTTAATTGGGCAAAAGGTGTACATGAAGGAGGTTGTTCATGTCTGAAAAGAACCATGGACCACTTAAAATAATTATAATTAAAGTAATAAGTTAAGCCCAGCCTGCGTGGCTCAGTGGTTGAGCGTTGACCCATGAACCAGGAGGTCACGGTTCAATTCCCAGTCAGGGCACAGGCCCGGGTTGCATGGAGGAGGCAGCCGATCAATGATTCTCTCTCATCATTCATGTTTCTATCTCTCTCTCCCTCTCCCTATCTCTCTGAATTCAGTAAAAATATAGTTAAAAAACAAAATAGGACATGGTATTGCCGGGCAGTTTTGAAAGAGTTAATTGTCATAGCTGTGAGAAATTCAGAGCCGGAGAGAGGAAAGGGAACAGCCATGTTTTAATACCCTAATAACTTCTAACTCTGGTCTCAGATCGTAATGTATGTGCGAAGAGTCCAGTAATTATAAGGTAATGAGTGGAGTGTGGTGGGGTAAGTGCTCTAAATTAAAAGGGATTTGCAGGGCTGTTGTAAGTCAGCGCCGACCCGCTTTCTTTCAAACGTTGACTCGAGGAAAAGTGCTTCGCCCCGAGTGCGTGCGGGGAGCCAGGAGAGCGATCTATTAATTACAGCGCTCGTTAACGGTGACTACAGTGACGGGGACGGGCCGCACATGCAGGGGAGCGGGCACCGTGCAAGCTGGCGAGGGGGTGGTTCTTTCTTCTGGTTCTTGTGAAAGGACAACACAGACGGGTGGGCCGCAAGCAAAGTCTTTGGGGGGCTTTCTCTTTCCCATTTGCTTTTCTTACGCCCTGATCCTGCTTAACTTTAGGAAGCAGAATACAATGTCCACGGTGCAATATATTGATTAAGAGGCAAACGCTTGCTCTTGGGATGGTCTTCTTGGGACAGTTAACATTTCCTGATAGGAAATTCCATATTTTTGTTCACTTTATTATTATATTTGTTGTTGTTAATCCTCACCCGAGGATATTTTTCCATTGGTTTGTAGAGAGAGTGGAAGGGAAGGGAGAGACACAGAGAGAGAGAAAAACATCGATGTGAGAGAGACACATTGATTGGTTGCCTCCCGCACACTCCCCAACCGGGGGCTGAGATGGAGCCTGCAACCGAGATATGAGCCCTTGACTGGGAATCAAACCCGTCAGTCTACAGGCCAATGTTCTATCCACTGAGCCAACCCGGCTAGGGCATATTTTTGTTCACTTTAAAGTAACAGAACAGTGGGGGAGGGGTGTGGAGGAGAGCATGAAATCTGTGCAGTGATCAAACATGACTGGATTTATAGTGAAGGAGATAATTGCATTCATTTGGCTGCTCCCCCAAATTCTGGCGAGTGACCATTACTCTGTGGGATTCCCATAAATCAACTTTCCACTGGGAAGCAATTATCTTAGTCCCTTTCTCAACTGTCACCTCTCCTTCCTATAGTGGGCTCTCAGAAGGTTCTTAGGGGCTTCGCTAAAAGGGGTTTTGCACTATGGCTGAGCGGGAGGAAAATAGGACCCATTATATCTTTTCATCTAATTACCTTTTCAGAAACTGAATCGCTGATGGGCCCAACCAAGGGAGACGGCAGGATGTTCCTTCTAGATAAGAGAGTTTGTCGCCATAGATGTCCACATTTGTTTCCAGGAGGTTTCATGTTAAAAGACCACAAGATGGGGAGGAAAGGGGACCATCACATATCTCTTTTTTTTCTCCCCATCACAAAATTTGATGCCTTCTTACTTTGCTGAATATAAAGTATCAGATTTATGGGCGTGGGCACAAGTATACCGTAGGCTCAAATGGCTTTTGCTGATTCATCTCTCCAACAGTGGCAAATCTCACACACACACACACACACACACACACACACGCACACGCACACACACGTTTATTCATCAGTGCTGGTCATCATTTCACTAACATTTGTGGGCTCCAGGAAGTAATCTTTACACATCGGCTAACATTTTATACTTGATGTCTTTCTACAATGGTCCATGTGAAATAGAACCATTTGAATAAAGAAGCAAAGTGACTGAGGATACATTTCCTATGTGTCTCAGATCAATAACAAGCACAGCGATGCTCATGGAAGAGGGCTGACAAATAGTAATCACAGAGCCACAGACTCATCGGTTCAGTCTTGACAATAAAAGTTAGGTTCTGCTCATGAGAAAATGATTGCAGGATGTGAAAGTGGAAGGGAAAAGTAGAGAGAAAATAGATGCGCTTTTAGACATGATGCGGACTCTGCAGATCACTCCTCTCCCATGGGTCCATGTAGAGCAGGGGTCCTCAAACTACGGCCTGCGGGCCACATGCAAATACAAATATTGTATTTGTTCCCGTTTTGTTTTTTTACTTCAAAATAAGATATGTGCAGTGTGCATAGGAATTTGTTCATAGTTTTTTTTAAAACTATAGTCCAGCCCTCCAACGGTCTGAGGGACAGTGAACTGGCCCCCTGTTTAAAAAGTTTGAGGACCCCTGATTTAGAGACTAGACCAGCTGTGGACAAACTACAGCCCGCGGGCCGGATCCGGCCTGTTTGAAATGAATAAAACTAAAAAAAAAAAAAGACCATACCCTTTTATGTAATGATGTTTACTTTGAATTTATATTAGTTCACACAAACACTCCATCCATGCTTTTGTTCCGGCCCTCCGGTCCAGTTTAAGAACCCATTGTGGCCCTCGAGTCAAAAAGTTTGCCCACCCCTGGTCTAGAGAGTTGATTCAGATCTTGCCTGTTGTTCGCCAAGAGAAAAGTACAATTAAAGGAATTGGACCCATTAGACCTTTTGTTCATGGGCTGCCTGGGCATTTTTATGTAGCCCTGACATGGCCTTCTGCTGATTCTCTTCTTGTAGAACAAGAGATACTGACTAGAGAACGCATGATGGGAAATCCCTAGGTCTTAGGCAGCGCTCTCACAAGGGGCAATGTCTTTACCATATGAATCCTTTGTTTTCCTTCCTTTTATTCTTCCCTTTCACTTTCTCCATTTACTTTTTTACCTTCTCTTTGCTTCTACCTCTTTTGGTCGCTGTGTTTGACTCTCTCTCCTCCTCTTTCTCCCTCTGTCTGTCTCTCCCTGAATCCCAGGCTTCTCTGCAGAATGTCAAACAAAGATCGACACATTGATTCCAGCTGTTCGTCCTTCATCAAGACGGAACCCTCCAGCCCGGCCTCCCTGACGGACAGCGTCAACCACCACAGCCCAGGCGGCTCCTCAGACGCCAGTGGGAGCTACAGTTCAACCATGAATGGCCACCAGAACGGACTTGACTCACCGCCTCTCTACCCTTCCGCTCCCATCCTGGGAGGCAGCGGGCCCGTCAGGAAACTGTATGACGACTGCTCCAGCACCATCGTGGAGGACCCCCAGACCAAGTGTGAATACATGCTCAACTCCATGCCCAAGAGACTGTGTTTGGTGTGCGGGGACATCGCCTCTGGGTACCACTACGGGGTCGCGTCGTGTGAAGCCTGCAAGGCGTTCTTTAAGAGGACGATTCAAGGTTAGTTTGGGAACTGGGGATCCCCTACCCTCTTCCAACCTCACGTGATGGTTGGTTGGTTGGTTTCCCTAGTTCTTATCCTTATTCATCAAGTTTCACTGTCTTAGTTCTATCTTTTTTTTTTTTTTTGGTATGTTTTTATTGATTTCAGAGAGGAAGGGAGAGCAACAGAGAGAAACATCAATGATGAGAGAGAATCATTGATCTGCCTCCTGCACTCCCCCTACTGGGGATCGAGCCCGCAACTCCGGGCATGTGTCCCGACCAGGAATCAAACCGTGATCTCCTGGGTCATAGGTCAACGCTCAGCCACTGAGCAACACTGGCTGGGCTGAAAACATCTCTTTAGCCCATTTATAAAACTGCAAAACTCGGTAATGGAGCACACTTCAGGTCTTTGGTGCTTACCAGCCATTGTCCACAGTGTTAGGATACTGAGGACACAGAGTAGCTAAAATTTAAATGTTGGTGATTTGATTTTGTTAACTTGGGATACACAGCTCTGGATCTAGCTGCATAAAGATAAGCAAATAATTTGGGATAAATCAACAAATACTGTGTATTCTGACATATGAAGGAAGTTCTCAGTATGAAAAACATTCCCGCTTTCTCAACAAATACAGGGTGTTCCCCCAAAATGTATACACACTTTAACAGCTGATAGCTCAGTTTTGAAAATGAGATGTATTTTAATAAACACTGCCTTTATAATTATTCAAAGTGTGTGTATACATTATTTTGGGACACCCTATATTTTCTGAGAACCTACTGTGTACCAGGCCACTTGCTGGCTGGACTTTTATTTTTATCTACATTTTATTTTAACATTGTTTCCAAAGGTTGGTGGGTTGGGGTTAAATTCCACATACAAATGCCTTGAGAGAAAGCCAGGTATTTTTTTTTGGGGGGGGCGGGGGGGTGGATTACACTCTTTGGTCCTCAGTATGTTTCCTAAAGATAGAACAAGTATTTGAAACAATTTTCCTAGAGTTGTTTAAACAAATCAACTGGCTTCGATATTATTAGCTCTGCAGCAGTGACTGAGCAATCCCTGGGATAAAGCAGTGGGAATTCTGTGCCCGAGTCTTCCTTCAGATGCTGAAACGCAACCAGGAGCCTCGCCGAGCAGGGCTCAGGCTGATCTTGGCATTGATGTGTATGCTCAGCTCCGCTCCGTATTGGAGAGAGCAACTTGCAAGGGTTCTGAGCGGGAGACAGAGATGTCACTGTCCAGATTAGCGCTCTGGGCTTGCCCACCTGGCTGTGCTTGGAGCTGGCAGCTGGGCGCACTGGGTGAGGCCACGCGGCTAGCTCCCTCGGCAGGCGACCCACCACGGTCCTTACTTAGCCCCAGAGAGGCAGTGAGGCACATAAAGGGATTAAATTGTGAAAGTCTAATGTAATAATCAGGGCAGTAATTATAAGGAAGATCGGAACAGCCCCTCCTTTCTGTGGCCAAGCAGTGATGGCATCTGAACTCCAAAGATGTTGAAGATGGCCCGAATCTCTCATATCATTATGGTTTCTTTCTTCTTTTTTTTTTTTTTTAATCCTCACTCAGGGGTATATTCCATTGATTTTTATAGAGTGGAAGAGAGAGGGAAAGACAGAGAGAAACATCTATGTGAGAGAAACACATCGATTGGTTGCCTTCTTCATGGGCCATGATCAGGGCCTGGGCCGGGGAGGAGCCTGCAACCCAGGAACATGTCCTTGACCAGAATCAAACCCGGGACCCTTTGGTCCGCAATCCGAAGTTCTATTCACTGAGCCAAACTGGCTAGGGCTTATCATGGATTCTTATCCAGATTTTGAAATGGCCATAGAATCCATTGTCAAGCCTTCGGGCAGGATTGCAGCCAAACTATCTTTGACATATCATTGCCTCTCTCTTTCTCCCTTTAAAAAGCTCCAGAGAATGAGACAGGATTATGCAACTCGCCTTAAGACCAAGTCTTCCCACGCTCTCCCAGCCCTTGTGGCCAGGGCATTATGTAAGAGGCTTTCTACTCTCATTGACTTGACCAAGGGACTTGCGCCCAAAGGCCTTGTCACAGGGCATAGCTCCTCCGTAGGATCTTCATTTCTTGTGATAATTTATTTCTAAGGGTGGTTATACAATATGTAATGCATATACATTTTAAAAGCTGGGAAAAATACTTCTTACACTGAGAGCCAAAAGAACATATATCCAGAGCACATCTTGAGAAAAATAATGAGAATTGTTCTTTTCAAAGCTGGATGTGATATTCTGGTTGTGAAAGGCAATTAATTATAGATTTCAGTGAAAGTCAACCAGAAAGCCACATTTTATTTATTGACTGTTTTCAAGTTATCATTGGACAACGATTGAATTAGGTCAGCATGTAGCTAGGTAAAAATCAAGGTGAGTTTTTTTGTTTCTTTGTTTTTTTCTGTTGACCAATCATTTTTTAGAAGACTTTGACAGTTCTAACCTATCATCCAACAGGGTTACAATAGAGGCAATGATTTCAACGTCATTTTCCTAGGGTTATTAATTTATTCTGATTTTTCTTCTAATGCTAGTTTTGGCCTCAATTCATAAATGAGTGGAAATTCTTTTTTTTTTTTATCTACTGGACCCTTGCTATGGAGGCAAAAGAAGAAAAATATCTTTATATCCAAAAAAGTCAGTACACATTTCATTTGTTAATACACAAAACCCTAGCCTCCCAGAAGTTTTTATTTCTATATAAGAATATGGAAAGTGCCCGGCCAGTGTGGCTCAGTGGTTGAGCGTGGACCTATGAACCAGGAGGTCACAGTTCGATTCCCTGTCAGGGGATGTGCTGGGTTGCAGGCTCAATCCCCAGTGGGGGGCATGCAGGAGGCAGCCTATCATTGATTCTCTCACATCATTGATGTTTCTCTCCCTCTCCCTCTCCCTCTCCCTCTCCCTCTCCCTCTCTCCCTCTCTCCCTCTCTCCCTCCTCTGAAATCAATAAAAATATATTTTTTAAAAAAAGATTAAGCATTTGCCTGCTAGTCATATGCTAAAGGCTATGGGCATGGCCTATGGGTTTGATGTCCCTGACTTCTTTCCACCCTGAATTGCTGACTCTTTCCTGAACGGGGGGTATTCCTGGAGCCTCATTCCTAGACATTGCCTTTTCTTTGCCATCAGAGCTATTTTGGTCTTAGAATAGAATGTGTGCAGCACAGGAGGAAATAGGTACTTGCACATTGTCTGTTACATCATAGGATCTTCCCAAGGAAACATAATACATTAACTTCTATTTAACTTCGTTTTCCGAGAAAGTAATTAGCCTGGTTTGTACATGGGAGCTTTAAATCTCTAACATGTTCTAAAATGAAAATCCAAAATACTACGGCAATGCCTCAGTTGACTTGAAGAGTCTCAGTGATTTATAAGGGCAGATGCAGTACTCAATTAAATATTGAGGTAATATTTTCAAAAGAAATATTGTCTAGGATTCATTTGCGTTAACTCAGAGCTTGCTTTTGTTGTAAGTCTGATATTTTCCTGTGTGTGTGTGTGTGTGTGTGTGTGTGTGTGTGTGTGTGTTTCCTGGCATTGGATGCCAGTTATGTCTACTTTTTTTGAAATTCATTAATGTTGCTAAATTATGAATGAGAACTATTATTCTACGCCTGCTATTTTAACAGCTATCTTCAGTGTTTATTTCAATAGTAAAATTTAGTGCTGCAGACTTTCTTTTTTTTAAATATATTTTATTGATTTTTTACAGAGAGGAAGGGAAAGAGATAGAGAGTTAGAAACATCGATGAGAGAGAAACATTGATCAGCTGCCTCCTGCACACCCCCTACTGGGGATGTGCCCGCAACCATGGTACATGCCCTTGACCGGAATCGAACCTGGGACCTTTCAGTCCGCAGGCTGATGCTCTATCCAGTGAGCCCAACCAGCCAGGGCGCAGACTTTCTTTGTTGGCTGAGAATGTACAATATGTGAATGGATGTCTCGGGAAATAGCATCATTTGCAGTTTTATTTTTCTTAGTTTTAACTTAGCAGACCCACTTCTTGGAATCAATGAGTGTTTGTAAGAACCCACCATACTGCCTTTTGCAATGGTTGCACCATTTTCCACCTCACCAACAGGGGTCCAACTTCCCTGCATCCTCTCTAGTGCTTATTGTACCTATTTTTTCTTCCCCTCTTCTCCCTCCTCCTTGTTCTCCTTCTCTTGAGTTTAATATAATGCCTTTGTTGTACCTGTAATAGATGAAGAATTTGTTCATTTATCATCACAGTAATGGATCTGTTAGTTTTTAGAATGTGCCACGCATGTTGAGTGGTTATTTCTCTGTGCCTGAAGTCTCACATCTATAAATAATATAATGATGTGATGAGGCCTGTGCTCCTACCTGGCCTTGTATACTTTAAAAGCTTTTGAAGTATCAGATAATTTTAGAATTAATTTTTCTAGAGAGGTTTTTAGTCCATGGGCAAATTTTTTAAAAATATATTTTATTGATTTTTTTACAGAGAGGAAGGGAGAGGGATAGAGAGTTAGAAACATCGATGAGAGAAAAACATCAATCAGCTGCCTCCTGCACACCCCCTACTGGGGATGTGCCCGCAACCAAGGTACATGCCCCTGACTGGAATTGAATCCAGGACTCTTCAGCCCGCAGGCCGATGCTCTATCCACTGAGCCAAACCGGTCAGGGCCATGGTCAAATTTTTTTTTATTCAGTTTTTCAACATAGTGAATTGTAAGAATGTTCCCAAAGTTATAGTTCAATGATAGTAAAGGTTTATAAAGAGGGGGTGGGCAGAAGTAAGTCTTAACAATATTTTATGTTTTTATAAACCATTTTCAGAAATCCCCTACATAAGAAGTTTGAGAGTTCAACTCTTCAGGAAACCACAGTTTTCTGTATCAGTTCCCTGGATGTTACCCACTAACCCTCATTTTGCCACTGGATTTTCAGTTGTTAGTTCCAGGGATGGGGAACGTCCAGCCCGTGGGCCATATAAGGCCCTTGAAATTA